TGAGCAAAGCAGATTTCTCCTCTGATCGCTCAAGATCTGTCTCCAGAGCAATTTTTTCTTCTTTAACGGAAGCAAGTTCTTGAGATACGGTTTTCAGCTCATTTGAGAGATTGGATACCTGCAAACTAGCCAGCATATCCTCTCCTAACATTTCCTTACAAAGAGACAACTCCAGATCATTAGCATAGAGGACACTTTGGAATCTTTCAATCAATTCTTCGTTGCCATAAGAACTGTCACTAGAGTCTCTGATTTTCTTTTCTATCTCATCAAAGGATCTAGCAACAAGTAAATCGATAGCTGAAGTATGATGTTCGACTCCTTCTGTCATCACGCCAGAAATTTCCACAAGCCTCCTCACAATTTCATCTCTTTCCAAAGAATCTCGCTCTGCAGTTTCCTCCAATCTTTTAAAACTGAAAGTTAGATCATCGAGTTCCTTTCTAACGTTATTTTTCTCCTCCGTTTCTGCAGAAACAGACATGCTTAAGCTTTCGATTTGGTTTTGCAGGGCACTGGCTTCATCCTTTGCCTGTAAAAATGATTCCCTCAGCCAAGTTAGGCGAGTTTCTAAGCTGGATTGCGAAAGCTCCTCCGGTAAGTCAATGGAAAAGTCCAAATCTTTTAGTCTGTTGTATTCCTGGGAGACATTTTGCAGCTCTTTCCTCTCTTCAACAAGTGACCTAACTTTTTCAATGATATCGAGAGACTGACCTTCCTCAGGTGTATCTATGTTGGACAAGATGGTTTCAATATTGTCAATGACAGAGGTCCTTGAGGACACCATTTCCTGAAATGATGCAACCAATGCCTCGGATTTTACTAACTCACCTTTGATGAGTTCAGATTCATCCGATGCTGTTGACATCTCTTGTAGCTTCATCAAACTCTCCTCAAGTTCTTTTGTTTTCTCAGCCAGAGACTGTTCCAACTCGTTCTTTGCAAGCTCATATGCTTCCAGGGATACAGACTGATCACGCAATTGAGTATAGCATTTCTCAAGTTCATCTGACTTTTCAGCTAACGATTGTTCCAGCTGCCCCTTGGCTACTTTGGAAGTTTCAAGGGCAATCTTCATCTCCTGTAACTCAGCCAACCTATTCTCAAGCTCCGCTGTTTTCTCAGATATTTGATGCTTCAGAGCATCCCGGTTCTGAACTAAGGCCTTCCCCTTTGTTACGGCCATGCTGAGCTTCTCTTTCGTGTTGCTGAACTTTGTCTTTTCTTGCTCAAGCTCTGCCTTCAATTTTCCAGACTCTGCAGTCATAGACTCAATCGTTTCTCTATCCCTATTTACTTGCTCAACCAGTTTCCTATTCTCATCTTCTAAATGGCTAAGCCTTTCATAAAGGGCAGCTTCCTTCTGTTTGAGCTCAAGTAACTCAGAACAAGCACCACCGAGAGCTGAACCAAAATCCTCTTGGAAACGAAGATCCGCGTCATCGCTAGACAAACACTTCCTCAACTGATCAGCACCGTAGTAAAACTCAGTATACTTAGCACTCAAAAAGGCAACACCGTTCTCAAGATGAGCAACCTTTTCAGAGACAGAAGAGCCATGCATCAACTCCTCCTGCCCAAACACATTACTAAGAGAAAGCAAAACCCTATCCGTTGCAGCCACAAGTTGCTCCTCGTCCTGTGACTGATGTCCAGAGAGCTCTGAGATTTTGGTGGTGAGATGAGCAATCTCCTCGTCCTTCCCAGTGATAATCCCACGAAGCTCCTTGAGTGCATCCTCATGCTGAACCTTCTCTTCCTCAGCAGTTTCTAAAAACTTTGAGAAACGACTGAGTATCTCCACGGTGTTCCCATCTTCCACACCGTTCTTCTCAGCAGTCAAGAGGTTAAACTGTTCCTGCAACACTGCAAGTTCCTTCTCCCTATCCTCTTCCTTAACGTTCTGTATAAAAGGTAGAAAACAAAACATAAATAAACAAATCAATAAAAAAACTAATTAAAATTTAAGAAATTCACAGACATTGTCATCATCATCGTCATCTGTAGTGAGAGCTTCCTTGCTAGGTGTATCGAAATTCAACTCTTCGGGAGCATCAACGAACATATCTTCCTTACTGTCGACGAAACCTGTTTCCTGCGAAATTAATTTTTTTATCCAAATTTTTTCAGCATCTGAAATGGAACATAAACGATTCGGACAAAGGAAACATTACAAATCTCACCTGGTCGGGATCAAGCTCTTGCTTCCCATTTGAATCGTCATCGTTTTCAATTCCCTCAGGTGCAGAATCAACTGAATCTTGCGGAAGATCATCGTTCTCTTGCATTATCTAAATCCCAATCCCTTTCACCAAAACAGATCTAACCACAAATTCGGAAACGGCGAGAAGAGATTCGTGATTGAAACACGAGAAAGGCTACAAAGAGATTCGTGAACAAATCAGCGAGGAAGCTAACAGAGAGAGGTAAGGTAAGAGAAGCGTAGCGTTACGTTGCTGCACGACCGACGCGGTGCGTTTTTGTTTTCTCCCAATCGTTTTTTTTTTCCTTAATAATTCGTTTATACACAAGAGTAGGTTTTTTTTTGGTGTGATTATTATGTCGTGGACATTGAAGTGGGTGATGTGTTCCAGCCAATCAGAACCCTTCGCTTCCGTTTAAGCGTTCATTCATGTCACATTTAATACAATATCCAATTCAGTGATCTCATAGTTAACTAATGTAAGTCAAAATTAGAATATGACCATCAAGTTCTGAGAAAAAAAGAAAGAATCTTCTGAACTTGAGAAGTAAATTTAATATATTACAGCGATCACATATATATATATATATATATTAACAAAAATTCATTTTCATATCCCTTATATATTAATCCTGAAGCATTCATAAATGCACAACCTTGGAGAGCATGCTTACGTGTCAAGCTCACAGAGCTTCTCAGCCTTAATTTTTTAATGGACCAATTTTGCTAGGAATGAAATAATTTAACATTTAATTTCTTGCATTAAGGACTATAATATATAAACATTTTTTAAGGGACCAATTTTGCTAGGTATAAAGCAATATATTTTCTTTCCTTAAATAAAAGCTACGGAATTACCTAATATGATTAACATATATATGTAATTAATGATTATGAATAATACATATTTTTGTGTCCTCTCTTTTTTTTAATTTTAAATTATTAAAATAAATTAAAAAATCACATTAGATATATAATAAAAAATTAATTTTTTTCTTATAGGTTATATTTTTATTTTTTTTTAAACGATAATAAATAACTAAAAATAGTAAAATCCCACACTGAAAATTTTATGATCAATGGTTTAACTTTGTTTTTTTCAAACAAGATACAAATTATCATAAATCGTACGAATATGAAGTATCATTAGTAGATATTCATATTATAAATATGTTAATTTAAAAATTTTAGTGAAAATGTTTGAGGTTAGTAGATACAAATTATATCATTCGAAAGATTTTTGTAGTTTGTTTTATTTGCTTTTTTTTTTAAATATCTTTTAGTTTGTTTAGATAATTTAACTAATTTAAATTAGATTTATTAATAGCTTAAATATTTTGAATTTTTTGTCAACTTTTAATGTTTAAAAAATATTTTTTGGGATGATTTCATATATTGGTTACAATCCAATCTAATCTGAATTGAGAAGACCAAATCAAATTCAATCTGATAATTAATAAAATTCAAATAGGATTTATGAAAATAATACCAAAATCTGAAAATACGTCTCAATCAAACCAAAACCAACGAAGTCTCAAACGTCCAGACCTGTGATGATTTAAGATACCAACATTTGTATTCATCATTTTATAATCGATAAATACTGTAATTGTACAAAATGTTAAAAACCATTTAATGAATAACTATTGGTATAAAAATTTCACCATATATTAATCCTGAAGCATTCATAAATGCATAACCTTGGAGAGCATGCTTACGTGTCAAGCTCACAGAGCTTCTCAGCCTTAATTTTTTAATGGACCAATTTTGCTAGGAATGAAATAATTTAACATTTAATTTCTTGCATTAAGGACTATAATATATAAACATTTTTTAAGGGACCAATTTTGCTAGGTATAAAGCAATATATTTTCTTTCCTTAAATAAAAGCTACGGAATTACCTAATATGATTAACATATATATGTAATTAATGATTATGAATAATACATATTTTTGTGTCCTCTCTCTTTTTTAATTTTAAATTATTAAAATAAATTAAACAATCACATTAGATATATAATAAAAAATTAATTTTTTTCTTATAGGTTATATTTTTAATTTTTTTAAAACGATAATAAATAACTAAAATAGTAAAATCCCACACTGAAAATTTTATGATCAATGGTTTAACTTTGTTTTTTTTCAAACAAGATACAAATTATCATAAATCGTACGAATATGAAGTATCATTAGTAGATATTCATATTATAAATATGTTAATTTAAAAATTTCAGTGAAAATGTTTGAGGTTAGTAAATACAAATTATTGCATTCGAAAGATTTGTGTAGTTTGTTTTATTTGCTTTTTTTTTTTTAATATCTTTTAGTTTGTTTAGACAATTTAACTAATTTTAATTTAGATTTATTAATAGTTTAAATATTTTGAATTTTTTGTCAACTTTTAATGTTTAAAAATATTTTTTGGGATGATTTCATATATTGGTTACAATCCAATCTAATCTGAATTGAGAAGACCAAATCAAATTCAGTCTGATAATTAATAAAATTCAAATAGGATTTATGAAAATAATACCAAAATCTGAAAATACGTCTCAATCAAACCAAAACCAACGAAGTCTCAAACGTCCAGACCTGTGATGATTTAAGATACCAACATTTGTATTCATCATTTTATAATCGATAAATATTGTAATTGTACAAAATGTTAAAAACCATTTAATGAATAAGTATTGGTATAAAAATTTCACCCCGCGCATACGCGCGGGTGATCATCTAGTATATATTATTACATATGATGAAATAATGATGCCATTCCCAGTTTCATACGACTTTGGTTAGTTCAACGCAAAACAGGACATGTAACACTTTGCATTTCAATGTGTCGCTGTTGTTCATAAGATATTTACAACTGTTGATCCACATGTCACATTTTGTGGCACAATTTCTAAACGTGCCCTGTATCTTCTCAACACAAAACTTAACTCTTACACTCTTTTGTTGAAAGTTGAAACAGCTCATTGCAGTGGTGCTTACACATCCTAATAACATCAACCAATATTATTATGTTTTTGGTCATCAGTCACTCACTCATCACACAACACACTAAAAAAAGAAGAGAAAACGCAAGTGATTAGTAGTACCATATATAATACTTAAAAGACGAGAGAGTCTCTTAAGAAAGAACACCAGACGCTAAAAGCACAACTAATTTACAGAACAGACACAAATCTCCCACCTCGATCACCATGTACTTTCCAGAAAACCTTAACCGCCTCATCAACCATTCCAGAGTCAGTAGCAACAGCTCCAAAGATTGCCCTAAACCCACCACAAACGATACCCGAGTTCGACGCATCAGTCTTGGGAGAGACCCTGATAACCCTCTCCAAACCCAACCGGTTCCCGTCAAGAGCACATGAGGATTCCACGTTTGAAACCTCTGCTATCAAACGTGTCAAAGCTTTGGAGGATGTGTCGATGTCTTTGGAGAGAAGGTGAAGAGAGACAGAGGTTTCGATGAGATGGGATCCAAAGATACTGAGGGCTTTGTTGTTCTCTTGAGAGAAGGAAGCGTGAGTCATGGCACGGCGAAGAAGGTTGATGTTGGTGAACTTGTAGCTACATCCAAAAGAAAGAAAGGAGACAACTTTAAAAGAACATAGACTTATATGATGTATAAATATAAACAAATAGTACTAAACTAATTTAACTTGATTAGTCACCCAAATCAGTTAAAAAACTCAGTGATTTAACTTGATAGGTAACCAAATTAGGTAGCCTAGTGATTTAACTTGGTAAGTAACTAAATCAGCTAAAAAGCTCAGTGATTCAATTGATCATCATAGATGCATTGAGGAGAGTATATAATCTAATACAAATGGTAAAAAAAAAGCATTCAACCAGTGAAAAGAGTGTACCCAATTTGGGATTGCAGCGTTGCAAGATCGGTAGTGAAAGGGGAGGAGAATGATTCGATTCCGACATTGGTTGCGCGAACCTGTAAGAGACAAAACAAATCGTCTTCTGATTTAGATATATATATAAAAAAAAAGATACGAATAGTTTAGGGTTTTGGAGGAATGGGGAAATACCTGAGAGGAGGAGAAGATCGCGATGACGGCGAGAAGAAGAAGAAGCAGAGTGAAACGATGATAAGTAGTCGCTATCATAGTTGATTTGAAACTCCACTTGTCTCTTTCACCACCGACTGACTGTAAAAAGACCTATCTATGCTTCTGCCTGAGATACTTCACGATTTAACACGATTTATTTATCTAAGTATATAATTAGCTTTTTTATAATAAAAAAAGAAGGGGTATAATTTGCTTTAGTGAGATAAATTATGATAAATTAAGCTAATGACATTGCTTTATGTTTAGCTTTTTCATCTATGGAATTTGTTCTACTTAGCTTAAATAATATTTTATATTTCAAGACTAAAAACTTTAACTTTACAAAGATGAACTTTGTCTTTTGGGTTTAGATACAAATAATTATCTTTCTTGACACAAAAAAAAAAGATACAAATAATTGTCTAACAATAAAACAAAGCCAAACAAAAGCTACTATATTGTTAGGCATATCTTGTATGATTAGTGCAATCTTTGGTTAGTTAACATTTATTAGTATCAAAACTTTAACTTACAACTAGATCTCGACCCGCACAACCGTGCGGGTTTTCTTTTTATTTATAGTTTATAAAATATTTTTATCAATTAAATAATAATATATTTACTTATAAAATCTCAAAAAATATTAAAATAATAGATGTTAAACTATCATTTTTAAACACAACGTGAAAAATATAAATTATCATTAACAAATATTTAACTATAGTATATTTAAATAAATGTTAATTAAAATGTATTGAATGCAAATTGCAGAAACTACAAATCTATATTAAAGAAGATTATATATTTGATTATTTCATGTTATAATTTATGTATCAAACTCAAAATATATTAGTAATTAATAACAATCAATAAGAATATAAGTTAAAATACATAAAACAAATTACTATATATTAATAATGACAAACTTAAACAAAAAAATTATAGAGTTATATAATATATAACATTAAATTTAAATCATGTATTTAAATTTTTTATTATACTATCAAATTTTTATATTTATAAATGAAAAATCTGTGTGTGTCAAACTCTAGTATATAGTTTTTTATTTAGGATTTAGGAATATATAGTGCTATCTAGATAAAAGATAAAAAAAATATGGGGTAATATTATGGAAATACAATTTAAAAAGATGTCTAAAAGATTTTGTTGGATTTATTTCATTTTTATTTCAAATAGTAAGATAAAGATATTTAAAGATATTATCATTAAATTATGTAACATTTGATAATCTTCATAATCTTTCTAAGAAATAGTCCATTTTTTAAAAAATCACACATGAATCAATGTTGTGACTTCTGTTTTAATATATAAGATAAGAAATAGTCCATTTTTTAAAAAATCACACATGAATCAATGTTGTGACTTCTGTTTTAATATATAAGATGTTTACATATAGGGGACTTTTTCTTTTGGGTTTAGATACAAATAATTGTCAACAATAAAAAAGAAGTGAAAGAAAAGCTACTATATTGTTAGGTATATCTTGTATGATTAGAGCAATCTTTGGTTAATCATTATTTAACTTCATTCCTTAACACATCATGTAGAGAGAGTTGCTTAATCTCATCTCGAATTATATGTTTGTGCTGACAAGAAGAAATCAAACAAGAAGTGGGGAATATATGCAACAGAGATCATAACTTATCTTTTATATTTCATAACAAGGGTACACATATATTTCATGACAATCATCTTATTATCATAAACCTAAAAACGAAGGATTAAATCATGGATCACCAGATTCTTTATATACACTTTGTTAAAAGGTCTAGGATCTTTCTCTCCCTCTGTACACCCCACCCGTGTGATATTTTGATAAAATCATCATATCAAGTACTCGTTGTAGCCTAAGAAGACAACTTCCGGATAATCTTTAGGGAGGCTATTGATGTGTAGGTAGAACCTAAGAAGATCCTCTTTAGTGACCGTCTCAGGATCCACCACATCTTCATCACACGTCAACACCCACAGATCCTCTGAGTTCACTCTCTTGATGCTGCCTCTACAAAATGGGCATGACTCAGATTTTGTGTTCCAGTTCCTATAACATTTGATGCACATGGCGTGACAACAGTTAGGTAACACCATTTTGGTGCAAGGCTCTAAGCAGATCCCGCATTCCTCTTCTCTTTCCGAGTCACCGTTGGTCATGAATCTGTTTCCTTCAGTGTCGTACTTCTTGGTGATGGCTTTTGGGTTTGGATACCATAAGCTGTCGCTTGGTAAGTCAGAGAAGTTGATATGAAGACGCTCGAGTGATGGTAATATAACACCTGCACTTAGCCAAAGCCCTTGTTCTATAAGACTAATGCCAATAGCAACAAAAACACAATCGTTTTCATTAGACTTACCGTAGAACTCCCTGATTGTAGCTTTCCTTCCGTACCTGGAGAGATTCCACCGCCCATCAGAACGAACCTGTACAAGAAAAAGAAGACACTTATAAGACAAACAAGCCAAGAGCAGAAGCAGAGACACACACCATGTAAAACAGAGAAACATTAAAAAAATGGTAGGAACCTTGTAGATGAGTATGTGGAAGAAATCAAAGTATCTTGGAAGCAGACATGAGAAGTCCATCCATTGAAGAAGGAATATGAAGAAAGGAGCCAAATTGCTGCAAACAAGTTTCATCTGAAGTCTCACACCGCTCTTTCCCATTGGAATCTCAGCAGCCCTGAAATCAAAGTTAATCAAACTTTTTTTTTGAGAATATGAAGCAAAAGTTACAATTTTTCTAACGTTTCTGCAAGTTTTGTTTCTATAATTAACTAAGTTCGTGAGTAGAAAAGTGAAGCCCTAAGTGGGTTTCGGCTAATTCAATTCCTTAAATCATATAATCATCAAGGAAGACAAGTATCACAAGTCACAACAATTTTTGTTAATTTGATCATCAAAACCCTAAAGGCTCAAAATCAGAAACAATAAAAAATGAAACCAAACCCAGATAGAATTGGATGACTTACAGTCCATTGGCGTGCTCTATGTCAGCCTCCAGAATCTTCAAAGAGTCCATGTAAGAGGACTTTGTCAACTGATAATACATCTCTTAAACCCCTTCTCTCGATGAAGAAACTATTACAAAAGGGGAAAGACAAGAAGAAGAAGAAGAAGAAGAAGAACTGAAGAAGAATAGAAGAGGAGAGAGAATCCAAAGTTGGGGTTTTGGAAACAGACAATCCTTGGAACCAGAGATGAACAACAAAACAAATTGACACAACAAAAAAATAAGTCTGCTTTTCTCCTCGGCTATATTCTCTTTTATAAATTTCTAGAAAAGATAGGAAGAAAAAAGGGGACTTTTTCGCTCTTTGATGATGAATTTTGCGGCCAGAGAAAGAGACAGAGTTCGTGGACGCCAAGGCAAACTGCAAAAGTTATAAAAAACGTCTTATCTCTTTTTATTATTTCTCCCCCAAATTTTTGTTTTAAGTTTGGTTCTTTGTTACAGAAGAGATCATAAATTGTAACGTTGAAATATGGATATGATGCGATAATGAGTGTGTGTTTGTTAATAATGTAGAGAGGAAAATAGCTTTTGTCCTTATCTATTAAACATTACATTATATGCTTTTTTGTTGGAAGGTAGGTCTTCATTTCCAAACTGGCATTTATTTTTTAATCAAGCTTTTTTTTATATATAATAAATTATATTTTTTGTAACTGAATAAAATAAAGTAATTTCAATATCTGTGATCTGTCATAACCAACATCATTATTTCTGATTCCATTATGTTAACAAAATATCAAGTCTTTTCTTGTTTTAGTTATCTGTTTTTGTTTGTTCCATCTGATTTCTGATTTTATCATTCCAAATTTACGAGTATGTATATTGGGATATATATCTTCAGGATTTGGATTAGTATCCGTATTGTGTCACAAATACGTTTGATTATAACATATTCTAGAAACTGTTATGAAACCTTCATCCAGAATCCTGTTTCAGAAGTTTGCACGTTTTCTATTGAGTACTGTGGAATGTGGATAATCCCTTATTAATTAAGTCCTTTCAATTTATCTATTCAGATGTAATCCTTTGAACGTGGCGTTCATCGTGTGGAGAACTGAGATACGTAATTCTCAAATAAAACCCTACGTTTTTGGATTTACAAACTATACTTTTAACTTGAATCATTACTTTTCGCGTGGACAAGCAAGCAAGTAACAAACTAATCTATCCCCGGCAGGAATCTTTTCCCAGTCTTTCAATTACAAACTAGTAGTATAACATAACTTCACATATAATTATTGTTTTTAAAATGCAGTTCAATATATATAATATTCTTCTGGTTAGATGTTATTGGTCGTAGTTAGTGATCAAATTAATTCAAAGTAGATGAACAGCCCATATACGTGAAGTTAAAGAATGACTTGGAATAATTCGTACCCTAATTTTCAATTCAAAAACAGAATTGAACTGATCAAGTTTCTACCTAATAGTTTCATTGACTTGGAAAGAGGAATCTATCTACGAAGACATACAAATAAGAAAAACATAGGTTATATAAGTCGCAAATAATTAAGAGTTGAGTTAAGGAATAGTCAAATGTTTGCGGTAAAGTTGTTCAGCCCCATCCACCACCTACACCCAACGATATGTTAATGATGATGTTGGGATGTGATTGGTACTTCTAAAACCATCTCTAACCTATTTTATTTTATTTTATTTTATTCTAAGGGTTTGATTGGTTTTTAATTTTATCGAGAATGATTCAGAGTATATAAAAGAGAAAGAATGATATAAACAAAAGTTGAATCCTGCGAATATTGTTCTCCAATTTGTTAAAAAAAAAAAAAAAAATCTCCAACACATATGTAGAAGAAAAAGCAGTAATTTTTTACTCTTTTTGAACAATTGTTATTAGCGAAAAAGAGCGAAAAACGTAAATGTTTTTCATTTGATTGGGTGGATAGGAGTAAAAGTCAAAGTAAAAATTTTCCCTTTAAATTTTGTTTTTTTGGTCAATTTTCCTCTTAAATTATCTCGCTATACCTAAATGTTGGAAAATCTTTTCCATTAGCATATACAGATATATTGATATTTTAAAATGTTGTTTCTCAATTCTTTCACTCGCGCCTTAAATACATAACATGCTATTATCACTTCATTCAGGATTAAATTTAAGCAGCACCAAAAAACAATTGGTTGGTGTTTCTAAAAACCTTTTAACTTGAGCACGTTTTCAATGACATTTGCAACAAGATTGGAGCTATTATAACTACTCCATCCTGGAACCTCTACGGTAGAGGCATGTATAATATGTGTGGTGATTATAATTATCAAATCGGTAACGTATCTTCTAATTAAAATTATGTACCAGTACAATTGAGATTCAAATTCTACAGAACATATATCACTCGCACCGCCACCAAAAAAATATACTTACAAATTTTCTCACAAGAAAAAAATTACATAAATACATACATACTTCCATTTTTTTCTGGCTTAAAAGCTATACTCACAATAGTCTTTATCTTATTCCAAAGTAAAAAAACATGGAGATATAACAAAATCAGTGATGAAATAGCAAGTGATGACATTAAGAGGTAGAAACCCATCTTATTTTTCATGCGACATGTACTATATATCTTTGGACCTTAAAAAAACTATTATTTTCAAAAACATGGATCCAAAAATTTGAATTAATGTGTAAAAAAATTGTGGGTCTTATATGAAAACACTCTTGGCCATGGCTAGAACCGGCCTGCTGAATGATGATATCCTTTGAAAAGTTATCAGTTATTATCACCATACATAAGTTATGTATAGATTTAGATTACCACATCAAATTTAATAATTTTGACAAATATTTGAAATAAGGTGTAAAGATAAGTTTAAAAATCAATAAAAGCATTTGTTTGTACTATTCAACCTTCTAAAAAGTAATATATACACATTACATGGATTTGAACATTGTTCAAAAACAAAGAGAGATCTTGGTAATAGTCATTGAATAACTTTTAAAAATAAAGGTTCAAGTCTCTGGAATTTATAACGAATGTTGGAGCATTATACACATATTCTAAACATAAATGTTATCAAATTGATATACCAATATTTCACTAATCTTAAGTATATTATCAGAAAATATGTTTCTTTCTAATTATGTTTCCTTGATTGCAATTAGAGATTTGGTTTGGCTTGATTTTAGGTCATAATTAAGAACATTTGAATTTATATAAAAAATATTCTAAACATAAATGTGATCAAATTTATATAACAATATTGCTGACATAATCTCAAATATAATGTCATAAAATATGTTTCTTTCCAATTAATATTTCCTTGATTTCAATTAGTGATTTTGTTTGGTTTTATTTAAGACCATAATTATAATGCAATGTATCACTACATCTAGATTATAATTGAGATTGATATTCGAATTTATATAGACAATATTCTAACCATAAATGTTATCAAATTTATATAACAATATTAAATGTCATAATCTCAAGTGTTGCTACTTTCCAATTATTAGTTAGGCGAGATTTCAATTAGTGATTTTTTTTGGCTTGATTTTAGGCTATAATTATGATATGCAATTAACTTTTATTTCAACCCCTATGAACTATATATATATATATATATATATCTCCTTAAACTAATCTGAGAACACCATCACAACCTAAACATTTCAAAAGCATCATCAAAAATGAGTGGCATCAATTTCATCGTTGATCTAAAGTCTAAGAAGTTAATGTGAAAGAGAATAGTGAAAATGATACGACTTTGGAAGTAGTACTCTGCTGCTGTTGGAGAGACCATATAAATGGTTTTCGTAGATGTAAAGATACATTCGTATTATCAGAATATTGTCAATACAATACATATTTTCTGTGTATTTATTATATGTATCTGATATCCGCGTTTTTTCTGCAGGGAGATAAAATCTCGGCGTCGATTAACGAGAAGTTTTGAAGACAATTTTACTTGCGATGATTTGGTGTTTTAATTTATTTTTATGTTACCTATGTTACTTTAATTATTATCATCATAATTCTATGATGAATTAATCAATTACATTACCTATGATTTGTTTTTTTTTATTGAAATTCATAATAAATTTCAATAAGTCTTTGCTTTAATCTTATATTTTTTTCATGTAATAAAATTTAATGCACACATCCAATTACACAATTTTTTTTGTAAAAAAAACAAATAATTTTACATTATATAAACATGAACATTATAGTAAGATATATCATTATATAACATATTTGTGATTTTGAATTTCTAATATGTATAGATGATTCAATAATATTGTTTTTAATTAATTCACTCCTCGCAGGGCGTGAGTTATCACCTAGTTCCAAAAGTAGAAAAACATGGAGAATATAGCAAAATCAGTGATGAAATAGCAAGTGTTCACATTAAGAGGTAGAAGCCCATCTTATTTTTCATGCGCCATGTGCTGTATATCTTTGGGCCATAAGAAAACTATTATTTTCAAAAATATGGACCCAAAAATTTGAATTAATGTGTAGAAAATTGTGGGTCTTGTGTGAAAGCACTCTTGGCCATGGCTAGAACGGGCCTGCTGAATGATGATATCCTCTAAAAAGTTATCAGTTATTATCACCATACATAAGTTAGGTATAGATTTAGGTTACCACATCAAGTTTAATAATTTTGACAAATATCTGAAATAAGGTGTAAAGTGTTGATCTTATTAACGTACAAAGACGAGTATATATACACGAGAGATAACCTAATCACAATGTGAAATAAATATGTAGATAATGACTAAGTCATAATTATCTTTATCTCTAAACTCTACATGCTTATCTCTATACTCCCCCTCAAGTTGGAGATGAAACATCATGAATTTCCAACTTGGACAGTAGATAGCGAAATGTAAGAGAAGGCAACGGTTTGTTAAGGATGTCCGCTAGCTGCTCTTTAGCCAAACTATGCTCTGTAGTGATCAACTTAGCCTGAACCGCATCACAAACAGCATGACAATCAGACTCGACGTGTTTAGTACGCTCATGAAAAACAAGGTTGGAAGCAATGTAAATGGAAGCCTTGCTGTCACAAAATAACCTCATCGGATTAGCATGCTTGAGGTCAAACAAAGTAATGA